CTGGGGGCCAAAAGCGTGAACCCGATATGCCCCATAGACAATGCGTGTAATGAATGGGCGGAAAACGTGCAGGATCTGTATTATGGCCGGAGTTAAATTGTTTTTTCTCTCTCTCTTTACGTCTCTTTATGGGCCGTATTTGGTATCATTAGAAAGAGAATTTCATGGTTGTTATTGTAAATCACTCTCTTTTTTTCTATGATAATCCTATCGAAACACGTGATGTAAAATAAATGTATAGGACAAAATGGCGTCTTAAATGGCCCCCTTGACCAATTTCAAAAATCCGGCCAAGAGGTGCCCTGCGTATTGGAACTCGGCATGTCACTGCAAATTTTCAAGGAAAAAAAAGGACGTTTAAGGGGCGAAAAGCAGTCTGAAAAAATGACGTCATAGCCGATACGTGTTAGATTCGGGCGGAAACTCGGCGGAATTCGTGTAGTGACCTTTGTTCAAATACGATTTACTCACAATTTTCTGTGTGAACATATAGTATACTTGGTATCATTCGAAAGGGCACTTCATTGCGGTCAGTTTGACACCATTGTTATCTGCGCGCAATGTATTGCACGCATTAAACGCGCTATTACGTAATGCATAGTAAATTCATCATTTTGGGCGATAACTTTGCGCTGACATATTCGAATTTTACCAAACTTGGCAAACAGTTGTCACGTATATGGATACATATATCCGCCAAGTTTCACTGATATAGGTATAAAGATCGCCATTTTAGAGCAAGTTGAAGTTATTTTCGAATTTTCTCGAAAATGGCAATTTTGGAGGGCATTTTTCTCAAATTTGGTCAGTGTTAGGGTATATAATTTTGTATATGGCTGGAAAGGGCATATCTTCAAGTATCTAAATCCAAAAAAGGGTACGGGTTTGCCAAGCCATTATGGAGATACGGCCACAGAGAGAAAGCCAATTCCCAGAACTTTAGAGGGCGCTATTTATGTTGTGCAAAGCCATTGGAGCGTGAAATTTGGCATGGCTATGTGCAATTATGAGATAAAGATAATGTGAGATTAAAACACAAAACGGAATTTATATGAGAAAGTTATGGCAGTTTTAGATTTTTAGGGGTCCATTTTTCAAGAATTTGAGAGATCTTTGACGGAGTCAGTTTCAGATTTGAATTTTGAGTACGAAGATGGCATTTTGAAGGTCAGGTCATACGTCGCAGATGAAAGAACATCTATTAGACTATCTAGAGGAATTTGTTAGAAGTTTGTAGGATCTAGGATAGTGGAGATAGGAAGGAAGACAGAAAGGCCTTAAAATGGACCAAAAACGGATAAAATGGCGCCTGGACGGTTATGCATGAGTGATTTCGGAAATCAAAGAATGTAGTGACCTTGATGAGATGTTAGAGACCATGCCTATGAAATTTGAAAGAAAAAGGACATGAGGAAAGCACCGAACCAGGAATAACAAACACTACGTGCAAAACGAATGCGATTTTCTGACGATAAGGAACAGGAAAAGGAGGAAAAGGAGAATATTAATGGGGCAGAATGTGAACGAAAACAAGGCAATGACGAAGGTCGTCATTGCAATGAGAGAGAAAGAGAGAGAGAGAGAGAGGGATAAGGAGAGAGAGGGAGAAAGAGGGATAAGGGGAGAAAGAGGGATAAGGAGAGAGAGAGGGGTAAGGTGAGAGAGAGAGAGAGAGAGAGAGGGATAAGGAGAGAGAAAGGGATAAGGAGAGAGAGAGAGAGAGAGAGAGAGAGGGATAAGAAGAGAGAGGGAGAGGGAGGGATAAGAAGAGAGAGGGAGAGGGAGGGATAGAGAGAGAGAGAGAGAGAGAAAGAGAATGGGATAAAGGGATAAGGAGAGAGAGAGAGAAAAGGAGAGGGGAGGGATAAAGAGAGAGAGAGAGAGAGAGAGAGAGAGATAGGAGAAAGACAGGAGGACAAATGCACAACAATGACAAAAGTGATTAGAGAGGCAGTTAAAAGAGTGAGAGGGAAGGTTAGAGAGAAAGAAGAGAAAGATAGAGAGAAGGGGAGGGAGGAAGAGGAGAGGGACAGAAAGAGCAGGAAAGGGACATCATATATCATCGCTTAGTACGGAGGCAAAGGAGAGAGAATGAGAGAGAGAGAGAGAGAGAGTGACAGGGAGAGGGAGATATATATATTTATAGGGAGAGAGATAGAGAGAGAGAGGGAGAGAAAGAGAAATAGGAGAGGCTGAGAGAGAAAGAGCAGGGTAGGGGCATGAAATCAATATGTCCACATCTACTATAGATTAGCATGCTAAAAAATGCCAATGTAATACGTATGAAATACTGGTGTGACGGAACTCATTTCCTACTGCATGTACATTTAATTAAGAGAGAATACTTAAATCCAGTAGCCTTCCCTTACCTGTCCATTCAGTCGTACTACATATCAAAACAAATATCATCAAAAGTAAGCAAAATTACCAACAACCGTCAAAATCGTATTCTGTATAACAAATGTACCAATAGCAAATACCTGAAAATGAATACAATGTACACATCGAGCCATTTAATGAGCACCAACTGTGGATCTGCCACATTTAACTCATAATAGGGCTAATAAGTATGTTGATCTGTTGCTCCCATTATGACATGTATATCAGCACAGAAAGATGACATGCAGATTAGATCATTAAGAGATCAAAAGGCATTTCATGCAGTACCTATAATTCATATAAATTGAATGAGAGAGAGAGAGAGAGAGAGAGAGAGAGAGAGAGAGATGACACGTACATGTAGGCCAATAGACGCACATAAAATTGGGCTTTACATTGCTGAAGGGCAGATATAAGAAGGTAACACCGGTATGTCATTATAGGGAGGCGAATTGAAATGAAATGGACTGTGAAGAGGAAATAATGTCAAAGCCAAATGATGGGCATGATACTGGACAGATGACAGGAAAAAAAAACATTTAATTAGTATTATACCGCTTTAATTTAAGACCTACATGTAGATCAGAAGGCCTGTTTATGTAAAAACACTGTTAAATCATTATGGAACAGGTTAAACAGCCCAGATAATCCAACCACTATTTGATTTACTTAGCAACACTTGATATTAATTTCTTCTATAACACAAAAAGGCTATATTCTGATGAACATATACGGTAGGCCATATACATGTTATACCCGCATTGATCGATGTGTAGTTGACCTTCCTGCATTACCAAGTGTGTTATGTAGAGCCCATAGATAAACCATGTGCGAAGAAAAGATGAAATTTGAGGAACAGATCCAATGATTTACAAACACATGTAGAAAAACATGAGACAGCCATGAAACATTGACATAGAGAAGGAGAGATAGAAGTGAAATTACAATATTATTTATGTATATATACATATTTTGTTCAGAGCCAGAAGGGCATTAACTTAATGTTAATGTTAATGCCCTTTTGACACTCAACAGAGAAGAGTATCTATATGATACATCACATACAAATATGATCAGACTTTATACAATATGATGAGACTTTCTAAAAATAAAATTGACAATGTAGGCTTGAAATATCAATGACACAACATTGTAAAAAAAATACATTTGGGGAAAAAGAAGGGCCTACCCCAAAATCTTATTACATCCATCAAACATTTTCTGAGAAGACTCAGGCCCTAATAAAATAAAAATCTTAGTAGTTTCCAATCCCCATGTTATCATATTTTTTGTTGTGGCTTACTGTATATATGAAATATGTTTTCTTTTTAAAGTAAAAAAGCAGAACATTGAATTTTTAAAAAAATGACAACAATTCTCCCCTTTCTCTACTCTTCTGTCCATTTTCCTCCAAGTTATTATTGCAGGTAGTCTGTATCTTTTTTGTCCTCAAAATCGGGACATGAAACTTTTTAATAATGGGGGGAGGGGGGGGGGGGGGTCAAATTCATGTACATTTAGGTAACATATTTACACTCCATGGAGCTGTGTTTTTTCTTCAACCAAACATTTAATAGTATTATACCAAGTAAAGCCATATAACAAGGAAACACTTAACAGTATACCAAGTATTAAAGGAAAGTGGTCTTCACAGTTGAAACACGTAAAGACAAGTAGACAAAGTACATACAGTTTATACACATGACATGGAGAGAAAGAATGGGGAAAGCCATGAGATAATGCATCGAAAAGGAAGATGTCTGCATATAAGATAATGCTGGAGGTTCATAGAATACAATGTGTGCCTCACAGACATTTTTAGCAGGGAATTTCAAATATATTGATTTTGTAGGAATTCTTCAGCTAAGGCGCTTCTGCAGGATATGCATGGGAGTACAGAAGGATCAGGAGGAGAGGCAGAAGGGTGCAGAGTTAATACCTTTCTCGCTCTCAGATAACAATAAAATGAGATTTGTACACAGTCATAGTAACATAAAGGCAAGAAAATATGATAGTGAAATATTCCACAGCCCAGTACAAGAAAAAATGTTTGATTTAGTATGGAAAGGAGGAAAGCAAAAACCCAGCTGACGTATAATAAACCAAAGGCCTACAAGACCAAAGGCCCCTCAAACTGAAATAAAATTGGTTTCATGAACCCAATTTCAGGTTTAGGCCAATAAAAAAAAACATGTTTAGCGTCCGTTTTTTTTTTTTAATAGGAAGGAGCAGGAGGCCCTTTTTTTTCTTTTTCAAAATGGCCGCTGGGTACATTTTCCCTAACAATCGGGCCATTTTTCAAGATGGCCGCCAATTTTTTTTATTTTTAATTTTTTTTTTAAAATCAGAAATAGATCTATTTTAGCAGTGTTTTTCATGTTTTTTTTCAAAGTTCCCCCCCAAAAAATCAAAAATTCAAAAAATAAAATACGAGGCGACCCCCAAAATAGAAGTGGGCGGGGACGCTAAACATGTTTTTTTTTTTTTAATGGCCTTAGTGTTTGAGAGACTAAATGTCTTGAGGGTCAACTAGGTTATCCCTTAAACGGTGCGAGGAATATATACACAGTATACAGCTATACAGAGAGGACAGGGCTTGTTATTCAGTAATAAATAAATACCTGAGAATTGGCTTCTTATTGATCCTGGATGTGAGTGAATGCAAGCAAACAGAAGAAAACAAAAACACACAAAATATAAAGCAATGTTATCACACAAACTATCAAAGAATGCACAAGATGATGTTATTACATTAAATTCATTGTTCATCTACTGCTGAGAGCTAGGAAGCTGTTGAATGAGAAAAGCTTTTGCAATAATTAATACTATTGGGTATAGCTTAAAGCCCCTCTAAAGTGTTGGAGGCCCCAAATTCGCCATACCTTTTATGGCAAAATTTCACCTAAATTATATCATATCATGTAAAAGAGGATGTAACTTAAGACACACTTTCCCCCTAAAAATGTGTTTGAAGGCAAATATTGATAAAAGAATACATAATTAGGGTACACAGAAAACCAAAATTTTGTATTCTTCCATCAATATTCAACTTCAAACACATTTGTTTTGAAAATTCTTGCAGAAATGTGTCTTAAATTACATCCTCTTTCAGATTATTATACAATTTAAGACAAATTTTGGCATTAAATTGTTGGGCTACCAACACTTTAAAGGGGCTTTACAGACTGTTTTTTATTCTTTTATATCATCAGTTCAGAACATGAAGGGCATTATTTCTGTGTTAAATCAAATAAATAAATGCCCTTCTACTACCAAACTGATGACCTGCTGCGAGCAAGAAGGGTATCAAATCCAAATCCAAGAATTAATATTGTCAAATAATTGGAAACGTAATATCTTATGTTGCTTCAAATTGAATAAATGAATAGATGAATACAAATTGATAGGAGTAATTCCTTTCTGGCTCTCAGCAGTCAATGACATTTGTAATGAGGCCTATTCTAAATGTACATGTATATGAGCGTCAAATAACATACACATTTTTGTTCAGGTGCAGTGTTTTCAAACTACAATGTTTCATGAAACATTAGAGGCTACAATTTTTCATGAAACATTAGAGGTTACAATTTTTCATGAAACATTAAAAGTATTTCATACTTTTTTTAATGCAAAGCAGACGTTTGAAATAGCAAGATTGGTCAAATAACAAACGCTTTTTGTTTAGATAGAGTGTACGCACACTATACAATTTTCGATGAAACATTAAAGGTTACCATTTTAAATTTGTGTAACATTTTTTTTTTTTTTTTAAAACATTCAAAGGTATTTATTTTTTGTGGAAAATGCAGAATAGACTTGATAGCAAGAAGGGTGACGTCTCTCACATTGAACACAGTCTTAACATCCTTCTGGCTCTTAACATCCTTCTGGCTCTTAACAGTCAGTTCTATACATTGCATGTTAACTTTCTACATGAAAGACAATTATTACAACAAATGTTTAAAACACTATAGCGTGAATACTACATTTACATCTATAGCGAAAGCAGGCATCTTCATATGAATATTTCAATACAATAGAGAATTATATTTTATAATTTATATTAATTTCTTTGACCTTATGAATTATTTGCTTGGCATGGGTTGAGGAGAGAAATAGGTAATTTTGCTCATGCCTATTGAAACAGAGGTCACATTTCTAGAGCATGAACATAATAGAAATGCACAGAAACAAAAGCTTAAAGGTTCGTGAGGTTATCAGATCCGACGGCTTAATAATGAAGATAAAAGCTGAACAGAATTCATATGGAATATTTAAGAGTTCAAATAAACAATGCCCCAGTAAAAATATGGCAACAAAATTACCCCCCCCCCTTCCCCTGTATAAAAAAGAAAGAGACGAATGCATTTACCATGACGGAGTGACTAGACGATAACGTAGATCTGTTCAACTGGTAGTGAAAGTAGAGATAGACTTTATCAAAAAATTTCTTGCTTTCATTTATTGTTTTGATGACTGAATCAACCTATTTAAAATGTACTACATTAACAATTTCAAAATGACTGAGAGAAGGCATTACCGTACTCTAAAAATGCAGGTCCATTTCCAGACTTAGGGATTACCTTAACTGCTAGAGGCATTCCTGCACTCATTTCTAAATGTAAGGCAAGTCATACAGTGGTTTGCTAGCTGCTCAAGTTGATGGAAAGCTCGCACCACTCTGGGTCTTCAGTTTCCATGGCAACACTCGAAGCTGTAATCTTATGATGTTTTATTCATGTCCAATCCCTCTTCCCTCTTCAAGCGCTTCATTGCAGTCACTACAGATGAGTTTGATTCTGGTGAATACCCACTGAGTTACAGTAGATGAGTGTTACAATGTGTAGGAATACACATCTTTAACATTTAATAATCTAGCTCGCAAGCCTATATAGACCTTGAAATTTAACTAACTACCATTTTCAGACTATTTCATCCTGTTACAATTTATTTCTTTGTATGTTATATTTTCATTGTATTACATGCATTTATTTGTGTATTATTTTGTATATTTTTTATCTGTCTATTTGGTTTACTTTTTATCGAATAATTGGAAATAAAGACAAATTGAATTGAATTTTAAGGATGAAGTGTGTTCTGTACAAATGAACATCAATGTTTTTATCAATTTCATCAAAATCTAATACGACATGAGCCAAGAGGAAAGATGGTGTTTTGTCTATGTAATCCTGTTTTGATTAGCTTCATACAGCCAATAATGTACCTATGTGAAGCTCAACAAGATGTTTTGTTTTTGTTTTTTTACCATGTTTACATCAAATTACTGAAAATAAGAACATTACTTATGTATGTACAGTACAGTACTCAGTAGCAAACCATGAAATAACAGGTTCCATAATGTACATCAAGTCACCAATGGTCAATTTGACTCGGTCACTAACCGAGCAGTCCTGAGCGAGCTTATCAGAGTGGTCGCCTCCTTCAAATTCTAAATTAAGACTCGTCAAAATTACCCTGTCTCTTTCCTTCCTCAAGGCACCGTCACTTCCCTCTCCTCTGGTTCTCTCTTGCTTCGTCTATTTAGATTTCTTCTCTCTCTCTCTTTCCATCCCCTTCATTTATCCTATTCCCATCTTCATGTTGAATTTCCTTCCATTTCTCTCTCTTTTTCTCTCTCTCTCCTCCATTTCTCCCATTCTCATCTTCTTGTTGATGATCTTCTTTCTCCTTCTCTCTCTCTTCTTTGATTTCCACCTCTAAGGCTCTATTTTCCCCTGTTGTTTTCACCTTTTTTTCGCTCTCTCTCTCTCTTCCTACTTCCCTCCTGCTCCTACTCACTTTCATCCTTCCCTCCTTCTCTCTTTCCTCTACTCCTTTTGAATATTTTCTATCTGTCTCTCTGTGTCTGTCTCTCACTCTCTCTTGTTCTCTCAGCCCCTTTCCCTTCCTCTCTCCTCCTCTCAATCACTCTCCTCTTCATCCACCTCTCTTTCATTCTCTATCTATCTACCTCTATCCTCCCCCTTATCTCTATCTCTCTCTCTCTCTCTCTCTCTTTCATCCCTTTCTCTCTCTCTCTCTCACTCTTTCATCCCTTTCTCTCTCTCTCTCTCACTCTCTCTCCCTCTCTCTCTCTCACTCTCTCTCCCTCTCTCTCTCTCGTTCTCTCCCTCTCTCTCTTTTTTTCATTCTCTTTCTCTCTCTCTCACTCTCTCTCACTCTTTCATCCCTTTCTCTCTCTCTCTCTCACTCTCTCTCCCTCTCTCTCTCTCGCTCTCTCTCTCTCTCTCTCTCTCACCCCTCTCTTCCCCCTTCCCCTACCAGTCAGTTAGGTATTTGCAAAGACGTCAGCACACTAAAAGAAATTGATGGCGCTCCATTTGCTCGTACAAATATAAAGCCAGTTTATGGGTGATGCTGAGATGTGTAAATTTGCTTGGCGTCATCGAAGCAGGCCTGGTCATACATACATCCCCAGGTCTTCTACAAGTTCAAATTTGTCTATCATTTATAAGAGCTCTTTCTGAATCACCTGTGGTTTTCTCTCCCTGGTTTGTGTCGTGATGGATCGATACGGTATATCTTCTCTTCTTTCATGTGCGTACGTACCCATCACATCAGACATGATTGATCGTATGAATTACAGCCAGCAAGTTTCATGACATGAATCAAATTTTATTAGTATCATTTTACAAGATCACCCAAGGATGAAAAGGGGGCAGATATATGAGAGCAAAACTTAATTGAAATTGTCTGCACAGATATTAAATATTTAGGCATATATCATACTCATGCCACTACTTCAAAATTTAGATGTAAATCAGTATTTTGCAATCTATTTTCTGCCTGTATCTCCTTTGCTGTCTTTTTTTTATGTCTTGAAAATATAGTTTTTGTTTGTTCACCTTTCTTTAAATGTACATAAAACCCTCATCAGTCCTGTAAATATATATGTAATTTGATGCCTTTTGCTCCCCCCCCCCCCCTCTCTCTCTCTCTCTCTCTCTCTCTCTCTCTCTCTCCCTCTCTCTCTCTCTCTCTTTCTCCTTCTATCTTTCTCTCCCTTTCTTTATTTCAGTATGTCTGTTCCCTTTTTCTTTCTCTGTCTATGTCTCTCTCTGTTCATAGTTTTCAGTCTACAGGTGACTTTCCCTTTGAAACGATTGTTAGGAAACGCCTCCTTTCCTAAACTAAGATACAACAGAATCAGACATATTAAAATCATCCATATTCCAGATGATTCAGATCTCTAAACTATCAGGAAAAAAAATACTTCAAAACACCTGCCCTACTGCCGCCAACCTCCAAAACAAAAAGAAAACAAGTCTCATAAAACAATTCATCACGTGGAAAATTCATCAAAACTATCGTACAGACGCAGATGCCAAACTCATTTTAACTAACCTTTTGGAAAACAGATCCCTTAGCTTATTTTCCCAGCATAGCTATATTTCAAGCTCAAGCGCTGTCATATTCAATATCTACTATTGCTTGAAAGACAGGCAAAGCAATTTCATTTTCTTATCTCTTCCCCCCCCCCCCCTCTCTTTTAAACATAAGTTGTTTTTGAACAGATATCAACTTTGATATTTTGACTTGTCAAAGAATTTTCTCTTGCTCATACTTAAAACTTATTGACATGACTGCTCTATCGCTGGACAGTTTAATTTCATTTTAGAGAGTT